AAAAAAATAAAATGAAATAAAATAGAAGCCATTACTTGAAACTCCAGTTGCCCCCCGCCAACCATTATTTTCAAAATAGTATTTCACATGCTTATCGTTATTGGACTTTCTAGGCTGAAAGTGAAGGCAGCTTTTCTGATGCTGACCTGCAGTCTGAGGTGAGCACGTTCATGCTGGCTGGGCACGATGCCTCTGCAGCGAGCCTCTCTTGGCTTCTCTACTGCCTGGCTCTGCACCCTGAGCACCAGGAGCGATGCCGGGAGGAGATCAGGAGTACCCTGGTGGAGGGCTCTTCCATCCACTGGTAAGAACTGCATCCTTAGACACTTCACCTTAGTTGTCCTGCTGGGATTCTGCCTTATTTTTTCCCCAGTATCTTAGTGACCACACTGCCTGAAGATGGATGTGTGTGGAAGCACAAGAAGCAGGCTATTTTTCTGCTTTTCTTCAAAAGGGCACCAAATTAGCCCCTTGCATTTTGTGAAGAAGTTCACTGATTCAGAAGTCACTTGACATTGGGCTGGGAGATAGCTCAGTGGCATAAGCACCTGCCTGGCAAGCACAAGGTCCCCAGTACCAAAAACATAAAATAAGAAATTACCTGGCATTGTTTTTCTACTCAGTGATATGCTAAATGTCTTGCTTCTTTCTTTCACCCAAGTTGCAGTACATTGGAAATGAGAGCTTGATTTGAGGACTATAGATAGAGCTTTCATGGTTGGCCGGGGGGGAGGGTGTTGGGGGACAGGCTTCTCTTCTGAGAGAACAGAGTAAGCAACTGCATCAGTGAAGGCTCCCAGTGGTCTCCCTCTCACATCACCTTTTCACTAATTTCATTACTCAGATGGATTTTGGACCTGTAATGTTGTATTAAATGGTATATACTGCAGTTGACTTTAACAAATGTGGTCTAATTACTAAAACACTATCAAACTGCTAATTTTTGATGTGAGTCCTAACCCAAGTGAAAATTAGAGAAAAAGAAGGGCTACAAGGATAGCCAACATTTTGGCCTTAGCTCTTCAAGGTCAGTGAGGACTCAGGATATAAGAGAACAAGTACTGTAACATCCTGTAACTCAGTGGTGTCCCAAATTTTCTGATCAAGGAGATTTCACGGAGGAAAGTGATCAACAATGTAGAGTGTGCCTAAGGAAAGTCATATCTGGAGTACAACACAGACCTCCACATAGCAAATTGAAACATAATGTACTCAATGCAATGATAAAGCTATGTGCTGGCCCCATTGGAGACTTAGAAACAGCCACCTGCTTTAAGAAGACTTGGAAGGCAGCTATGCTAACCATTGTACCATCAACACCCCAAGAAGACGTTTTAGGAGCTCTAACACTTAATCTAGCTTTTATAAGATGATTAGGAGTTAGCCAGGTAGAAAACTTCAACTCTGTATTAAGTACATTTTGCTGCTGGGCTGGTGAGATGGCTCAGTGGTCTAAAGCACCTACTTAGAACAAGCATAGCAAAGCACAGGGACCGCGGTTCAATCCCCCAGCACCACATGCCAGCCAGCCCCGCCCCCTGCTGGGCTGAGCTGGCCACACACACACACACACACACACACACACACACACAAATAAATTTTTAAAAAAAGTACATTTTGCTGTTATTAAGTCCAGGTTATTATAGATTTGCCCCTCAGACATGCTATTTGTAAAGAAAAGGCATGTCCCTGAAATACTTTCACCCTAGCTAATGAAAGGAGCAGAAAGGTAAAAATAAAAAGAACCACTAAGCTGCAGAACTAGGGAAAAACCATATTTCACAAGCAAAGATTAAGTGAAATATTTCTTTTTTAAGTATTTTAAATTCTTTAATTTAAAATAAATAATAATACAAATTAATTAAAATAATAAATTGATTTAAATTCTTTTTATTAGTTTTTTTCTATTTTTTATTGAGAAACAAATAGCAATTAGACAGTTTAAAAACAGATTAGTAGGACAGTTTCAATAATTAGTACATTGCATATTGTTGTCTTCATAGTGGTTATTCATAGTACAAAATGCAGACATGATATCCTGTCCAAACACTATTGGTACAAATCTTTCTTCTCATTGAATTAAGAGAAAGTAGCTGTATATCTGTCCTAACTATTTTATGTATACAGATACAAAATGGTCCTTCATTTATATCCCTTTTTGCTTAGTTTTGTCAGGGGTGGGTATTCCATTGTCACTTAAATATTGTGGGTGCGTGAATTCAGCAAAATAATCCAATATAGTCCAGTAGTCCATAATAGTAGTAGGTTATCCATAGGACTGGCAATGTCAGAAGTTGTTGACTTGAGCCTTTTACAGCTCAGCGGTACAGGGTTTTAGGGTAAATCCTGAGGGGATCTGACTGATTTTATTAGATACAAAAGTTATATTCCTTGCTATATAGGTTTTGCTTTATCTTGGTCTTAACCATCCAGCAGAAAAGTATAAAAATGAGGTATAAAAAGTAAAGCCATATTAATAAGTGAAATATTTCTGAAACAAAATTTGAAAGTATAAAGTTAAAATAATTATATCATTTTATAAGGAAATAACAATCATTTTCTACCACAAATTAAAGAGTTAATCTGCCTAGTATAAAACACAATGTTGAATGATAATTCTGAACAAGTAAAAAGTATATGTGTATCTATATGTATGTATATATGCATAGGATGTGCAATGTTATTATATATATGAATAATCAAATCAACCAAGAACATATCCATTAACTTACTTATATATTTGTTTCTTTGTGGTGAGGACATTTAAAATCTACCATCTGAATCTACCCCATTCATATAGTTCTTCCTTTCTTCAAGTGAAACTTCTTTGGTATTAAAAAAAGTCTGCCATTTTAAGAACTTTCAAGTAGATAAATTGTTGTTAACCATAACTGTATGTTGCAAAATAGAGCTCCTAAATTTTATTTCCCCCAAATGAAATTTTGTACCCCTTAACTAACATCTTCCCAGTCCTGTTCCCTCTTGATATGTATCATTCCCTACTCCTGTGAATTCAACTTTTTATAATTGAGATCATTAGAATTTGTCTTTCTGTAACTGGGTTATTTCAACCAGCAAAATGTCCTATAGATTTGTCCATGTTTCTGCAAATTACAGGATTTCTCTTTAAGGTTAAACAGTATTCTCCTAAGTATGTGTATAGAACTTCTAATCAGTTTATCTGGTGATAGACACTTAGATCGAGCACATAGCTCCACCGTGATGCTGCAGTGATGATGGGAAAGCAAATGTCTTTTTAACATATTGATTTCTTTTTTTTTAATTTTAAAAAAATTTATTTATTTATTTATTTAAAAAAAAATTTTTTAACATATTGATTTCTTTTCCTGTGGATCCTTATCTAGAAGTAAAACTACTAGATCACATAGGAGTTCTCTTTGTGATTTTTCTTAAAGAATGTCCATCTTGTTTTCCATTTTGTATAATAATTCACATTGCCACAAATGGTACACAAGTGTTCTATCTTCAACAACATTAATCTTTCTTGGATATTTTTATTTATTTGCTTATTTATTTATTTTTGGTACCGGCAGTCTCACAACTTTGCGCTTGCCAGGCAGTCTCCTTTCTTTTTCAATAGCTATTCTAACAAGTGAGAGGTAATAATTGTGATTCTAAGTTGCATTTCTCTGACAATTCTTGATAACATTTTTCAATATGCCCGCTGGCCATTTGTATGTTTTCTTCTGAAAAATGTCTATTCAAATCCTTTGCTCATTTTTAATTGGTTTATTTATTTACTGGCTATTAAGTTGTGTGAGTGCCTTATATATTTTGGATATTAATCCTTTATCACATATATGTCCTGCTAATATTTTGTCCCATTTTGTATGTATCTGTTCACTGTTGACAGTTTGTCGTGCATAATTTTTGAGTTGATACAAACCCATTTGTCTTTTTTGACTTTGTTGCTTATACTTCAGAGATTGCATTTAAGAAAATCTTTGCGGGGTCAGGGAGACAGCTCAATAGAATAAGCGTTTGCCTGGCAAGCACAAGGTTCTGAGTTCAATCCCCGGTTCCACAAAAAAAAGAAACAAACAAAAAAGTCTTTGCCAAAACCCACAACAAAAGTTGCTGTCCTTTGTTTGTTTTAGGTTTACTGTTTTAAATCTTGTGTTTAAATCTTTAATCTATTTTTCTTTGATTTTTTCATGTATGGAGTAAGATATGGGTCAAATTTTATTCTTCTGTGTGTGCACATCAAGTTTTCTCAGCACCACTTATTAAACAGGATGTCAACAGTGTGTGTTGACAATAAGTTGTCCGTAGGTTTATGGATGTAAATGGTTGCTCTCTCCCATTCCATTATTTTCGATATTTCTTTTCAAGAAAGCACCATGCTATTTTGACTACTATGGCCCTGTAATATGAAGCAGTGCCCCTCACAAAAGCACTTTTGCTGTGGAAGCTGTGAACTTATTGCTGCTGTGGGAGAATCCAAGGGAGGAACATCCTATTTTTTTCCCCATTGAGTAATCTTTTCTTTTAAAGTTCACTAAATTTAGAAACATTGTATATCACTTTTCAACATGAATTAGATATCTTAACTTTGACTAGGCATATACTTACACAACTCAAATCCTGACTGTTCTCATTTTTACTGGACCTAACTGAAAACAGCAAGTCTTTACTGGGTGAGAAAAGGAAGTCCAGATGATCTGTTGTCATCTACTTTATCAAGGAAAAGGCCAAGAGTATTACAAATAAAAATATACTTTTACTTTATAACATGCACTTCATAAAATTTGTACCTAGCATTCTAAAATTTTCCAAATCTTCTACACAGTGTAATGAAGCCACTTCATAAAGAGCAGTTTCTGTGAAAGCCGGGAAGTTGTTCAACTTTTTCACTTAGCTCCTTGTCAGCCCATTTCCATGTTGAATTAAAATTCTTCCTTTTGCACCAGGATGAGCTAGGGGAAAAAAGTATTTTTTTAATTATGCAAAGTGCCAGGATGAGCAGGGTACTCTTTTCTTTATCCTGAGCTTGAGTAGGAAAGAATTCAAAACTAAAACTTCACATAACCAAATGACCAGTGACTGCATTCAAAGTAAGTAAACAAAAAATTAAATGCAAGTACAATAGAATAAATAGATTAAGTAGATGCAGACATTTTATTAAACAAATCTGACCAGCAAGGATACATGTAAAAAGCAACTATTATTTGGTGGCGAAGCTTCAAACTTGCTCTGTGGGTCACGTTGTTTTCATCTTGACAAAATCATGAGCACAGAGCTCCCATCCATTAGATCACAAAAACAGTCTCCTGCCACCGAGTAAATTGTCTGACCCATGGTAACAGCGCTTCAAATACTCATCTACCTTGAGCTGCTCTGGCCATCCCAGTTTGATACTTCCTTGAGCCTGGAAGCCAACAGAGGGTGAAGGATTCATTCTTGAAATGCTCTTGCTGACCAGCTCTTCCCCTACCCAGAAGCTTCTTCTTCTGACCCTTCCAGTCATGAGGCCACAGGCAGCAGGGACAAGGAGAAATGGGCTGGAACTAATGTGATTGTGTGCCCAAAGGGTTTGGTGAGTATATGTGTGGGTTTCCTAGAGATTCCATCCCCAGGACTTTCCTATGGTCATTCACAGGGCAAAGGAGTTCTAATCTTTGGGCAGAGTCTTCCTCTAGCAGGTTCTGGAATGTTCTCTCCTTTGACCAGTTCCCTGTTGCAATACCCATATTTGCGCATTTCTGCCTTGCCACAAATTTTCTCTCCTTCTCTGTCTGTTCCATATCACAGCCTTTCCCGTCAGTCCTGTGCCCACCAGAGTCCAGGGAACATGCAGCAGATCATCTCAGTGACCCTCATGAGTCTCTGTTTTGTTTATTAAGAGGGGTGAAGTACACTCCTGCATTCCCCATGGCACCCTGCCACTTCTACAATTCTCTTTAAAGTGTGCAGTTTCTCCCTCAAACTTCTCTTGCCTTTTCTTTGCACTCCTTAGTCATTACCTACACATTCCTGTTTTATATGATGAGCTAAAGATTGCAAAACTGGTTTCTCTATAATCTCCTGGGTAAACCCTCTACTAGTAGCTAAACACTTAACCATGTAGTTAGGCTATGTAGCACCTGTTAAGTTCCTCTAACTATGAGACCTCAGCTGATCCTGAGGCAGAAAAAGTCCGATTTTAACAATCTGCTACATAAACTCATGACAAAATAGCTTTACCCTGAGGTGATGAAAACATCCAATAAAAAAGCAGTATTTGCAAACAAACTTGAAGTCTGAGTCCCTTTCCTCCCTCCCTCATCCTTACAGGGACCAGCTAAATGAGATGTCATACACAACAATGTGCATCAAGGAGGTGTTCCGCTTGATTCCTCCAGTGCCGTCCATCTCCAGAGAGCTCAGCAAGCCCCTCACCTTCCCAGATGGACGCTCGTTGCCTGCAGGTCTTTGTCTTTTCATAAGCGGTCTCTAGACAACATGGGATCCTGGGGATCACAGTAACAGCGGTGGGTGGGTTTCTTAGCTCTCTTAGAGAAGTCAGAAGATAACGTAAAGAGTTGGGTATCTATTAAGAAATTAGAGAATAATTCCTGCATCAGATATGAGTTCCAGTGAAGTTTCTGAGGGTCGTGACCAATTGCAGCAATGTGGAGCCCAGAATCCCAGCCCAGGACCTCTGGTGGGACGTTACACCTAATATAATCTTCATTAGGCTGTTTGCAAACCTAGTAAGACTTCATACAAGAGAACCATCATTATCTTAACCTGAAAGGGTCTCATGGTCATAATATCATCCTTAGGTGCAGCACTGAGTAGTTTACCTAGAGCCTTCAAACACATCACCGCCTATTTTTCCTTGAGATTTGATACTAATGTACACTTATGCAGTGATTTATGATTTATAAAATAATTTTAAATATGTTCAATGTAACCAAAACCTTGCTTTGGGATCCCCAGTGTGTAGGGAAGGTCCCACACTCCCAGTACACAGGATTCTGGGCAAGACTCAGAGGAAGCAACAAGGTCAGGGGAGCTGCCCTTCCACTTGGCTGCTTTGGGGTTGCTTGTGGCAAACACCTACAACCTGTTACAGTACCTTTGGTAACATATCCAAAATTAATTTACTAGGATTATTTCTGGCAACAAAACAATTCTCAAATTCTCTCTCTTTTGTATTTTTATATCCCTAAACCACATAAATATTTGCCAGAATTCCACACCATTTCATGGGTAAACAGCACCAACAGGAATTAACCCCTGGATCTGTAATGATGGAATTACAGTTCTGTTCCTAAGCACCCAGAAACCAGGGCTTTATGGTCCTTAATAGATATTTAAGCAATGTCCTTATGTGACAGAAAATGGAACATAGCTTAGTGCTTTAATATGACACTGACAGGTCCTTAGAATAGAATCATAAATTAAGTAAATCATTGTTTTGAAAACTAAGGTACAATCCCAAGCCTCACCTTCCCCTATTCTCCCTGCCTTCCCTTCAGTGAAAAATGTTGTTCAAGAACTATATAAATAAAACAAAACATAACAAAGAAATGCATAAACAGCAGCTCACAGTTTACTCATTTCTCTCTTTCTCTCTCTCTCTCTCTCGCTCTCTCTCTCTCTCTCTCTCTCTCTCTCTCTCTCTGTCACACACACACACAAACACATATGCAAAATCTTTTTTAATTAATTAATTTTACTGGTTAGATATATATAGTGATCATATTAATGATAGGGAATTTGTACCTGTACATGATATATCTTGATTCTTGTTCCCCCATCCCCCTCCTCCTCAGTGCAACCCCCTTCTCCTCCTTATTTACAAAGCAACTTTCATCTATTTTTCCCTTTTCCCCCCACATTCTTTTTTTATTTCCCTCCTGCCTCAGGAATGAATGTGGTTCTCAGTATCCGGGGTCTTCACCACAACCCTGCTGTCTGGAGTAGCCCACAGGTATGACTGTCTTCCACAGACTTCCTTCCAAGAAGAAGTGCTGTGTAATTCATTTTTTGGCACACAAGCATGGAAGTGATGATTCAGTCAAAACAAAGAAAACAAAACTAAATATAAAAATCAAAAACTTGCTCACTAACAGGACCATGTTCTCTTCCCCACTCCTGCTTTACGTTTGAATGAGGATTAACACAATTGTGCACAATCTGCTCTAAATTATTTCTCAAACCCTACAAAGCACTTCCCTCAATATCTGCCAGACTGTGGACAGAGTAATTCAGGCAACTCAGGCTCTCTTTTGCTGGATAAAACAGCTGGCTCCTGGAGAGAAATTAGTGACATGCTCGAATTGGGAAATGTTAGTGCTTTGTAGAGGAACTATTTGGGAAGAGATGGGCACTTTAGGAGAAGTGAACTAGAACACATGTCTGTCAGAAGAGCTTTCTACTTTAGGCCTGATGGCACCTGGAAGGGAGAGTTATGGAAACTGGAGAGAGAGCACTTCCAGAAAAAGGGCCACCAGCGTGGAGCTGTGACAGAGACACAGCCAGCCTGAGGCATCTGCTAGGGAGGAGTGAGGGACACACTGTCTCCTCTCCCTCTCCAGACCCCTTGTCCATGGCTTTTATTTAATTTTTAAATTTTATTTTATTTTTTATTTTATAGTTTTATTCATCTGTATTTTCAAAGTTTTGAGATTTTATTATTTTCCAAAGTTACAATTTTATAATCAACATCTATTACAAAATAAAATAATAGATATTAAACAAAGGATCATGCCTAATTATCCTTCATCTTCCTTTGGAAATACTGTATTTCTTTTTTATTATTAATTTTATTGAGAAGCAAATAGCAATGAGACAGTTTCAAATTAGTAGGACAGTTCAGTAACTGATACATTGCATATTGTTATCTTCATAATGGTTATTCATAGTACAATTTGCAGACATGATATCCCATCCAAACACTATTAGTACAAATCTTTCTTCTCATTGAATTAAGAGAAAGTAGTTGTATATCTATCCTGACTATTATGTATATACAGATACAAAATGGTCCATCATTTGTATCTCCTTTTTTGTTTAGTTTTGTTAGAGATGGGTATTCCATTGCCATTTAAATATTGTTGGTGCGTGAACTCAGCAAAATAATCCAATATATTCCTGTAGTGCATAATAGTAGTGTGTTATCCATAGGACTGGCAATGTCAGAAGTTGTTGACTTGAGCCCTTTACAGCTCAGCATATTAATATAGCTTTACTTTTCATACTGTGTTATTATACTTTTCTGCTGGATGGTTAAGAGCAAGATAAAGCAAGAACTATATAACAAGAAATGTAACTCTTGCATCTGACAAGGTCAGTCAAAACCCCTCAGGATTTACTCTGAAACCCTGTACTGCAGTTTATAGATCTTTTGACAGTGTCAGCCATGTGGATGAGTCATGGCCATTGCTTGACCAATTTGCTCTCTGTGAAAATCTGAGAGAATATTTTCTCTCCATGTGATTCTCCTTAGAGAATGCTTCTTTTATATAAATCACTTGGGTTTCAGCTGTATTACATATAAAAGGATGCTCACTACACATCACCACTACAATTGACCACACAGTATTTTAAGCTTCACTCCACATGCGTCAATCACTTTCTTCTGTGGCCCCATAATCTCCTTGATCAGAAAATTTGGGACATCACTGAGTTACAGGATGTTACAGTACAGCTTTTCTTATGTCCTGAGTCCTCACTGACCTTGAAAGGCTAGGGCCAAAATGTTGGCTGTCCTTGTAGCCCTTCCTTTTCTCTAATTTAATGTGCAAATACAATGGGAAACCATTCCTGTTAGCTTCCCAGAGCCCCAAACAGGCTGGGCGAGGAAGAAGGATCTGGAGAGGCAGAGAGATGTATCGTTCCTTGTTCTTAAACTCTAAGCACTCAAATACCAATGCTTCTTTTATATAAATCACTTGGGTTTCAGCTGTATTACATATAAAAGGATGCTCACTACACATCACCACTACAATTGACCACACAGTATTTTAAGCTTCACTCCACATGCGGCTACTGAGCACTTGAAATATTTGAGCCAGAATCGAGATGTGGATTCCAAAGACATAGTACCCCCCAAATGTGAACTTTTTCCTCATTAACCAGTTTATGTTGATTTCAGATTAGAACAGATCTTTCTCTTAAAGTGTTATGAAAAGTAATTTCATCTTTTTAAAATTGTAGCTACAAGAACACTTAAAATGACATATTTTACGTCATGCCTCTAGTAATTAGTACTAAATAGTAGCTTAAGAAATGTGTTCATGTTGTTTTTGGGGATGGTTATGTAGTTTTGTCTTCCCATTTTAGGTTTTTGACCCCTTGAGATTCACTAAGGAGAATTCTGATCGAAGACACCCCTATGCCTTTTTAACATTCTCAGCTGGACCCAGGTAAGGACAATTTGAAATTGTTGAAAATTCACAAAAATGTTTAGTTAGGAATTGCTTGAACCCCTTGCCTCCCTGTTCTGTAAGATCTTCCATGGAAACTCATCTTCTCTTAGGTAGAGCATGATGTCTGCTTGAGCTCCCGAAAGAGTCGGCTAGTTTTGCGGTGGACAGTGCCGTTCCTCATCACATCCTACGTAGCCACCCCTCAGAAAGCAATCCTATGTGTAAGATACTGTCTGCAGGCTCAACACAGCCCTCTCCGAGTGCAGGAGAAAATTCCCAGGGCACCTCTGCCCACTGCTTTGTTCAGGAGGGCAGCAAGATGAGGCCTCCCAGTCCATATCCTTGCAGTGGACAATGTAAAGCCAAAGGCCAAACTTTCCCAGGACATTTAGAGTGAAAATGCAGCTTACTGTGAATTTCAGACTTGTTATTCTAGAAATTTATTGGAGAATCATTCTTTAAAAAGCAATTCATTCAGGCATCATTCTCCTCCCCTCCCTGTCTGCAGGAGCTGCATTGGGCAGCAGTTTGCCATGGTTGAGCTGAAGGTGGCCATTGCTTTGATTCTGCTGCGCTTCAGAGTGTCTCCAGACCTCACCAGGCCTCTCGCCTTCTCCAACCAGATTGTCCTCACGCCCAAGGATGGAATGCATTTGCACCTGGAGAAGCTTTCTGGGTGTTAAATCCAGAGTGCAATGTCCATAGTTTGGTTTTCAAGTTAAGTTTACAGCAAATGAAGAAGAATCAGAGTGTCCTGGGAGGGGTGGAGGTAGGGGGCTGGGGGCAGGCATTCATCTGTAGAGCTGCACCTTGTCATAAACGTTCTCAGGTGGTGAGAGTAACACCTGGCTGTTTCTGCCTGGATCTTGAGAGATTTTTCAGATTTGATTCT